ACAAAAGTTTGATTACTTTTACAATATTAATTTAGATATCAAATTCTGTAGAACATATGTGCACATAAGCAAAGACACTACAGCAAATGTCTGAAGGTCTCCAAAAGCAATGTTTTTTTACAATTGAGATAGATGGTCAGCGAATAAGGAGGTGTTGACAAATTTTATATCTATGGGCCTGTAAGATCTCTTACTGGGTGAAAACATTAAACTTTAGTGGTACTTGCATTATTATTTATGGAAGATAATGTGTTGTGAAGTAGGTTCTATTTCCGGTACATGTTTAGCGATTTCACGTCCCTTTCTTTTTTTTCTATTTCCGGTACATGTTTAGCGATTTCACGTCTTCCTAACCAACGGTTTAGTCCTTATATATGCGATACCTAAGAGGCGTTTGAATTAATGTGAATAAACAAATTTAAAACATGTCCTTTTTCTTTCTTACAAAGAAAAAAATTGAGATTGTGCTTTTCGAACCATAAAGAACGTAGCTCTATGCGAGCCTGAGACGTAACGTATGTTCATGACACAGCACAAACATAATCGGCATTACTTAAAAGGTAACTTTTCTTATTGGAAACGTGTTTATTAGGGCACCGACTCAAGGGTTTCCAAAACAAAAAAAAAAATGTCGTGCACGGAAAAAAAAGTGTGCACGCTTCTAAAAGGCGTGAAGTTTGCTGCGGGCATTAACCATACAAACAGCACGCCTTTCCTCTTCGCCTCTCCACTATCGTCCCCTTCTCTCCCTTGTTTTCAGACGATTGGCGATTGCCAACATCAGTGGGGTCTTGACGACAGCCAGCATAACGTGTGACTCCAAATACACGTAATCAGCACCCTTAAAACCTCCCTCCAAGAACCCATGTCGTGAATAGCAATTCCCCCAGCAAAAAAAGAAAAAAAAAAGAAAAACGTTTGCATGCGGATTGGAACGGCATGAGACCATTCATTTGCAGCGACAGCAAATACTGTGGCTGCACATAACGTGTCCTGTTTGGACAGACCTGCAGCATGCTGCGGATTTACCTTTCCTCTCCCTGAAATCCTCTCCTTGATCGGATTTCAGGGAGAGGAACAAAGGGGAATGGGTGTGATGCTCACGGCCGAATAAAATTCCTCCGAGTGAATGCGTCGGCAAAACCTTTCCGGTGTTAAGAAACGGCTCGCAACCTCCTTGGTGACGTTAAATAAGTCACCGTCGGATTGTGTTTTCCAGCACTGCTCTCCATATAGCCTGCAAAAAAAACGAATAGATCATTATATGTTTTAAAATAACACTATATCAAAATTTGGGTGTGTGCAATAGGAGAAATACGGATGTTTTTAATTTAATGAAATTAATCCAAAGGTGCAAGCGAGCTGCACTGGAATGATGAAAATATTCCCTGGAGAAGAGGAACAACGGCGACAGAGGACAAACACCAATCTCCAAACAAAGCTAGGTGACTGGTGCGCGACAGAAAACATCCGCCTGGTCCTGGTATCGAATCACGAACCTCTCTATTTCAGTGGATCTCTCTACTAACTGACCTAATCAGGAGCTAGGCGTCAGTACAGCAAACGGGTTTTATCAACTCTCGCCGGTCGAACACCAACAACCCTCGTGAAAAAGCCACTGGTATGAGAAATTTCTTGTGTTCAATTCGGACATATCAATCACATAAGATATATAAGAAAATATACGAACCATATAAGAACCGTAAAAACTATAAAAGACACATAAGAACATATGAAAAACTTTTCACAAGTTTTTTTATACATCTTATATAGTTCTTATATGTTCTTACATATCTTGTATGATTCCTATGTGTTTATTGGACGGAGAAATTTCTCATACAACTGAGATTTTTCAATACGGAAGGGTAAAAGGGCTGCCTATCAAGGTTATTATGATAATGATAATAATGCAAAGGTGCAAGCGAGCTAGAAAAGCATGATGAAAATAATTGCTGTAGAAAAAGAACAAGGGGACAAAGGACAAACAGAAATCTCAACACAGCTAGGAGAAATTAACTGTGTTTGGAGATATTTGTTTGTCCTTTGTCCCCCCCCCCCCCCCCCCCCGTTCTTCTTCTCCAGGGCATATTTTCATAACCGGTGTTTCCCTGATTCATGAGATTAGATTATTAATACAACATTTAAATTTTTAATGAACACACACGAAGAAAGAGAGAAAAGCATCCTTCCACTAGCAGAAGGCAGCCAATATACTAAGCCTCTTTAATTGGAGTCATTATCCAAAATCCTTGCCAACAAAATTTTTCAGGGCCCTGTCACACTGAGCAGTATTCGCGACTCCAGCAAAACGGACGCCGCCAAGCGGGAAAACCGGGAACCAGTCCGTCCAGGTCGCTCCGCGCCCCGCCGCGTCTCTGATGGCTTTCGCGGACACGTGCTGTCGGCGCGGGCGCGAGCAATGTAATTTGACGAAGGTCCCAAAATTTTTTAAGTTTGCCTGGGTGTTCATGGTGAAGCCTCAGTAGATTGTTTCTTTCCATCACTTGTTTGAAAGCCCGTTTACTCCACAACACACGGTCGCGTGCTTTGGATTTTTTGGATGAGGAGGATTCACGGACAAACGTTTTGATTTCTCGTCTGTCTCTAATCACATTTAAAGTGACGACTGCTTGGTAACTGATAAGTGGTTTCTTTATAAGGATGTAGAACAGTGGACTGAGGTCGACAGACGAAGTGTTTCACTGGAGGGAACACCAATGTTGCAGTCAAGTGAATGGGGAGGTTCGATAGCTGCTTTCCTTGAGTTTGGTCGTGCTCAATTAGCTTCAAGTTAATTTGAGCCACTAACGCCGGCCGGTGCGTTGGCTATTCGTCTTGGCGGCTTTTCGCCGAAAAAGACCACTTTGAAGGAGTTGGGCTAATTTCGCAATTACTTGATTCAGAAAACCTGCTCGCTGCATATGATTAATGAGGAAAATTATCTGCTCTCAAAGGGTGGGGACGCGTCTCGCAAAGTTAGAAGCTGTCACGTCATTTGGATCTATCGCGCCTCCAATATTTATATTATAACCCCTGTCAAAGCCAGCAGCAATATACGTCTACATTGCTCAGGTTGACCGGCCACAAAAAATACTCATTTTATCCGTTCAGGATTCGAAGTCAAGTTCAATGCAGAGAGGTCTGAGTGAATCTCCGATGAAGACTCTCCTCAGTTTGTCCGCATTCGTCTCCGTTCTACCGGCTAGAACCATTTGGCCAAGTTTAAGTAGTATCTCTCTGTCTGTCAAATATACATTTATTCAGCAGTTCACCTAATACTTAGTTAACTAAGTTCATATTTCAACCCGAAGAATATACTAATATCGCTTTAGTGGGACATAATACGTAATATAATACATAATCCGCATATTCGTCAAGATGACTTCTCGATTGCTATTAAAACCTGAATTGAAATACGAGTATCAGCTGCTTGGTGAAGCGCCAGCGAGTTGACATGCTCCTTGGCTCAAGAATCGCTTGCTTAATTTTCGTAATTGTCCTGCAGCCTGTGTTCTTGACCGAGCACACGACTGGAGCTGTTTCTTGAAACGCGGACAGGCACAAAAGCTCAATTTTGCGGACAGATAAGTCGCATGGTCGAGGCACGCGAGTTAGCTAAAAATTACTCTCGGTGGAACAATTTTGTAGCCCTCGCTGCTTTCCTTAGATGATCAAAACTAATTAGGGTCTATTACCGTTTCTCCGGAGCCCATAGTTTCGGTTTTGATCGATGTCTCCGAAACGAAAGTTTGACATGAAAAGAACAAAAAACACCGGCCAAACAAAACTATGCTCGGCAAGTTTATGCGAACCGGCTACACTTAACTGTCTCAGTTCAAATACCCATAAAATTGGGCATTCAACAAAAGAAAATTTGTTAAATTGAATGCGCCACCCATTCAGGCAGCCCGGCCGAGCCGACGCGACCTGGACTCAGCCGCCATGTTTGTTTGTTGGTGGCGCCCCCTATAGGTCGCTGGAGTCGCGAATAGAAATAGGGTTGCATGAAAGAAAAAAAAAAACTGAACAGAAACAACTTATACGATGTCGTAGATTCCTAACATATATCGGCGATTTCATTTTCCTCCTATAGGGCTAAATCGTTGTCAGCGAATGAAGAACATCTTCATAAAATGAAGGGTGGAAAATACTCCCCGTGTCAAGTTTTCTAGCCACAGTCATTAGTTGATGTCGCCCCGTAGCAACTTCCGGCCCTTCAAACGCTGTAGCACATTGAATAGTGGCATATCCGGCGACGCCTCGTCACACACGAACGAAGGTAAACAATCAAGATGGCGGAGTGTTCCAAGCCTTGGGCCCGCCGTCAGCGCGGTGTGATAGGGTGGTCGGACAACACATCGGCCAACACGGATTCCGGGTGACAGCAATGTGTTGCCCTGCTGTTCTTGTTGCCGCGATGTGAGAGGGTCACCAGAAACGCGTTTTTCTTGTGTTGCCTCAGTGTGACCGGGACTTAAGGGCGTCGAATCAATCAACATTGTAATCTTTCTTTCGGTTCAGTTCGTTTACGACGGATGTACTATTACTCTAAAAAGAAAAATTATTTGTCACGTTTAATGAATTCAGCTACCGTTTGGTAAACGCTTTGATGTTTCTTCAATTCGGTATAATGCACATAATTTGTTTATAGCGATAATAAGAGCACAACCACAATACAATATATTTTCGTTGTGAACTTGCAGCCTCGTTGCCTCTCCAATGACAGGTGAGCTGCAAGTTTCTTTCAACTATCCCTGACAGCTTAAGGAACATGGTGCCGGTATTATGGTAACGCTTTTAGCGTCGTCATTTGTTTGGTGGATTTAGCTGCCTTTTAAGTGAACTACGATTTAAGTAACTACGATTGGAAGTAACATCCCCGTTAACTGGCAAACGATGCATTCAAAGTTAGGGTGAAATAATAGCATAGGAAATGTCACGGGTCCAAAGGAAAATAAAGGTTCGATGATGCCAGCGCCTAAGAAAGTTCAAGCAAATACTTACTTCATAACAAATTCCATCTGCGCCTCACTACAATGCGAAAACGCGAAAGGCGGTCCACGTTTCAGTACAGGACTCATGATGTATTGATCTGGGGACTTGCAGGCAAGAGCACCAGGATGATTCGGGACTTTTGTCCAGGGACCACTTCCATCGTCCATGCTCCCGAGCCTGCGAAAATAATGTTCATGCTATGAAAACCATCTAATGCTCAGCACTATAATCAGGGACAAATTAGCAAACGCAAAGCAAGGCTCATTATGCTTACGCTTCTTATCGGCCCATAATGCATTGTCCGTAGCGATGATGAATGGCATGGGATTTATTAACGGTGACTAAAAAAGCTTTTCCCGGGTGGTACGCTTGGCACATGTGTTTATGGAGGAAGCGACAAGATACTTACAAATGCCCGATTTCGTGGGTTATTGTGGTGAATCCATAGAACAAAGGAGGTTCTTCCTCGCACATAGCCACATTCCAGCGTTTCACGCAGACCATTCCAGTATAGGCGAGACCTGGAAATAATACTCCATCTGTTGCTTACGAAAAACATTCAATAACGTTGTTTTCAACCTGTAAGAATACGCTGGGATGTGAAAAAACCCCTTTTTGGAACAGCAGCTATTTAGAATTATGAGACGTTCAGCCACTTAAAGTTAATATTTAGCCGAGGCATGACCGCTTGTGCAAAAGTCTCAAATTCCAAGGAAACAAGCCGTGTCTAGAAGTGGGGCTGCGTGCTTACAGGGACAATTTGTTTTCAGAAAGGTACAAGCAAAGCAAACACACAAACAAACATCTACAGTTAATTTTTTCAGCGCAAAGCTAAATTACGAATTACTAAACGCTCAGTATTCGGCCAAGTGTAGCGCTCGTTGCTCGAACCTGATGCCAAAGTTTCACAACTTGCTGACTCAAATGTTATGAACAGTTTTAGGAAATTCACAATAAGACGATGGCAGTCGACGAAGTCCAGCAACGCATGAAAATGAGTGGCGTCGGCTGCCGAAAACGGGAGTCATTTAGCCAGTGTAAAATTAAAAAAAATTGCTTCTAACTTTCGAATTCACAAAGAGTGAGTTTTAAAACTTTGGCATTAGGTTGTACCGTTAGAGCTCCATTTGGAAGGCACTAAGCGTTTGGCAATCCGTAGGCTGTCTTGTCATGAAAAACACTTTTTTTGCGGACACGCGTACACTTGAAGTCTTACAGTTTTACGTAGAATAAAAATGTAGTCATAATTTGTTGTTGATTTTCGCGGTTCGTGTTGTAGAAAGATCGCCACGAATAGAAGTGAAATTTTCAAGAGATATTTGTTGAATGTGATTTTTATAACCATCATCTGACGACAACCCTTCATGTCAAATTTTATTTCTGAACTAAGTGGCCAAAACGCGCTTTAAAAAGATTTTGAACTTGACTTTCTCCAACTGCTTCAAAGCAAGAAATGTTAATTTTATTCAGTCAAGGTCATCTTCTGTGAAAACTGCTACCAACTTAAAAATCCCACTCAGTGATTCGTGTTACTTACTAGCAGAAACGGCGAATGTCCATCGTTATTCGTTAAACATCTCTTGGAAATAACTGGTTAAACTCCGATTTTCTAGAGATTCAGCATAAATGTGTGGTCCGGAGCGTCTTCTGACCCCACCCTCTTACCGTTAATATCAGAATATAATTTCTTAGTGGTCTTGTCACGTCTCCCTAAGCTGCGCCTGAAATGCAAATATGAAAATAATAATTATGCGCATTCCTGCTGCTGTGAACATTAATCACGAGAAACGGTGTATGTACATATAGTTTGTGCTTTTTAGGCTTTACATGTCCTTTCTTAGAAAAGCAGTGAAAGCTACATTTATGCCGTCTCTGCAGGTGAGTTACACGGCGATGGGGACGTAACAAAGAAGCTGTCACGACAGCCTAATACTGACAATTTGAGATCACTGGGATTCGCATAAATAAAGGGTCTTAATATCCTCGGAAATAATACATGAATAACTTCCAGCATGCAGCGCGTATTAGACTAAATTATGCACATCTACCCCTCGTTTTGAGGGGCAACGAAGCTTTTTTACACATCTCTTGTCGCGTTGCCGTAAAGCCAAGTGAAGCGGCACTTAAAAAAGAGGGCATGTTACAATTTCGGATTGAAATGCTTTTTACACAAGCTTGCTGGAACGAGTCGGACCGAAGTACGGGGGTAGCAAAGGTGGCGATGCAGGCGAGTTTGTTCATCACTAGGTAAGGTAAATACAGCCCAGAGAAAGACGAAGACAAGGGGGAAACAGATATCAGCGCATATGTGTCCTTTCTTGAACACATATCGGTTAGACAGATATAAACACATATGTGTATAACTAGATACCGCCTCCTAATAACTGAACTATGCCGAAATAAAAATAAAGATGTCTGTTTTTCAAGAAAACATGAAAATGTATTATTGCTTTGAACCCGTAATCTAGATGGTACTAGCATAAAATGAGTGGAACACTTATCTGCCAGTATTACGAATGAAACGCATGACATAAGAAAAACATATCAAAGCTTTGCAGGTCACGTTGTGGAGGTTAAAACAAATCATCCTCGGGTGGTTTTCACCTAGCAAAAAACTGCCTCCTTACAAACATTTACTACGCCCAATTTTAGGATATGGGAAGGTTGTTTATGATCGAGTAGACTTTTTTCCGTTTATTGTTAAGGTTCGTTGTTCTAGCGCTCGTGCTGGGTTCTCTATGCCATTCGTGTGTGCGCTGTCTTTACCTTCTCGTGTGCAAGGACATAGTGAAAACATTCCGAAATCCAACTAAATGAAACGAAGTGAATGTAAATATGAAATCGATTTATCTTCTAGTCTAGTTTTGACGAGCGTTTGAGTGAAACAGGCTCGTGCATTTTTAATCAAAAGTAAAATCAAAGGCCCAATGGTCATATTATATATAAACAGGACAAAAAGGAAAATAAATACAGCTTTGATGCCCTTGATATTTATCGTCTTCATTTCCAACAGTGAGTTTTTGGGGTTTCGATTCTCCAGCATTGTGGCACACATTAAGCGAAGAATCAGGTTCGCTACACATTGAAACGGGCAGCACATCAGACACTGTAGAGGAAACGTTTTGCATGTCGCCCAATAAAGGTGCGTAAAATAGAGGAAGCCTTGGGCATCTCTTGTCACCAGGTAGATAACATTTTACGTAATGAATCGAATTCAAAACAGAAAGCTTTTCGCAAGATGGGTGTCGCATTTTCTTAATGCGTAGCAAATCATCTGCATTCGGTATTTGCTCCGATTACAAAAACATAGCAGAATGGAACTTTGAATTCCCTCACACTTTATATTTTTCCCAAAAGTCAATATGTCTTGACTAGAAAGAGATTTTGGTTGAATGAAAATGTAACAGAGGAATTCAATTCCGTATTTGAAGGTCTCTAAACAATTCCGATCCAAGAATGAATAGAAAAGCTCGAAAGACCTCGCATCAAGTGCGTTCATCCTCGAGGGGATTCTGTTTTCAAATACCACAACTTGCAATGGTTTTGTTTTCATTCCATATTCATTTCGGAAACATTTCGATATATCCTACTGTACACCCAAGAAACACTACTAGCACAACGGCTTCCGTGTATTGGTGAAGTGTTATTCTGCTTCGAAAAAATAACGACGTAGTTACGGGGATCACACCATATGGGGTAAAGTGTCGAAGGCGGCTCGAGTATTCGACACGGGCCCTCAGTGATCACTCGAGATTGGCTCGTGAGAAAAAAACAGCTCGACGAACATTTGAGTAGTAGTTTGCGTCTAATCACTGCGGTACAGTGAATCGCCCAACTGTACAGGGTGATTCAAGGAGAGGCCAGGCTCTTTAAATCGACCGCGAAAATCGGTTCCTTATCCTATCGTGCTACGAGTTTGTGCAGCGTTGGCCACAAATGGTGCATTTCTTTTTGTAAAATTTACAAAGAGCGAATTGAACTGAGTAAAAACTAAAGAAAGAAAAATGCTTTGCGCCTATGGAAGCGCAGCGACGCCATTGGTCTTCAAACAACACGGCGCCGTTTCGCACTGCAGAAAAGAGATGGCGCAACGAACGCCGCCAACGAACGAGCATACGGCGCCGAGAGCCGGCGTCTTTAGCAGACGATCTTTTCGACTCAAAAGCGACACGCGTTCCGCAGGCGGCGACAGTGTAGAAAGTACAGTTCCTTGTTTGCTAAAGATGTCGTATGTTCGTTCGTTGGCGGCAGTTGGCGTCGCGACCGCTTGCGCCATCTCTTATCTCCCGTGCGAAACGTCGCCGTGTTGTTTTAAGACCTGTGGCTTCGCTGCGTTCACATAAGAGCTGAGCCTTTTAGAGCGCAGCTCTTAGGGGCCCATTCCCGGCTTCAGCGGCGTCGCCGTCGGCGTAGTAGAGGTCACCCCAAGGTTATGTGACCCCCAAGGGCATCACAAGGTCACGTGACCCCCAAGGTCACCGCACGATCACGTGACCACGAAGGTCATCCCAAGGTCACGTGACCCCCAGAGGTCAGGTGACTCCCCAAGTCACGTGACCCCCCCAGAGGTCACGTGAGGTCAGGTGACCACCCCGAGGTCACGTGACCCCCCTCAGGGTCACATGAACCTCTCCCCCGAGGTCACGTGACCCCCTCCCCCGAGGTCACGTGACCCCCTCCCCCGAGGTCACGTGACCCCCCGATGACGTCATCGACACTGATGACGTTGCCGTCATCCGCATCGTCATCGTCATCATCACTGATGACGATGCGATGACGTCATCGTCACTGATGATGTCATCAGTGACGTCACCGATGACATCGTCACTGATAACGTCATCAGTGACGTCACTGATGGCGTCAGCGGCATTCGCATCGTCATCAATGACGTCATCGGTGACGTCACTTATGACATCACCGGCATCCGCATCGTCATCGTCATCATCACTGATGACGTCATCGGTATCCGTCTCGTTATCGTCACTGATGACGTCAGCAGTGACGTCACTGATAACAACATCGGCATCGTCACATCGTCACTGATAACGTCACCAGTAACGTCACTGATGACGTCACCGGCATCCGCATCGTAATCAATGACGTCATCGGTGACGTCACTTATGACATCACCGGCATCCGCATCGTCATAGTCATCATCACTGATGACGTCATCGGTATCCGCATCGTTATCGTCACCGATGACGTCAGCAGTGACGTCACTGATAACGACATCGGCATCGTCACGTGACCCACCCACCCAGTACCCTTCCCTCCTCCTCAAGAGCTGCGCTCAAATTCGGCGTTACAGGGAGTTGTAAACGGCTTTCACTTTTTTCTTTCTTTACTTTTTGCTCGGGTAAGCTCGCTTTTTTGTGAATTTTATAGAAAAAATGCACCACCTGTGGCCCACGCCGTACAAAATCGGAACGCGATAAGATAAGAAACCGAATTTTGCGGTCGATATAAAGAGCCTGGCCTCTCCTTGAATCCCCCTGCAGTAATACCCCACCGGCCTTTGCCAAGGTTGTGACACTTGCCTGCCTCGAATCCGTAATAGAAGATCATGTGGCCACTTGTTCCGGCAACGAGTTGAAAGCTAACTGTGCTCGGTTCTGTACGAAAAACAAATTCTACGCCTGCTTTTAAGTTGAAATAAAAGCTAATTTGTTTTGAGAGGTTATGGAAGTCAAAGATATGATCTCAGCAGTGCGTAATTTATTGTTAAGTCCGAAAATTGTCGCACGACCGCCGTAATCTATCACATATCCTTCGGGAGCATTGAATCGCCATAAGGAACTAGAACATGTTATCTCTGCCTCACGGCACAACTAGACCTCAGGCTGAATTACGTGATCTTGCTTACCCAACGAGCATCACGTAGAAATCGGCAGGCCTTTCGAACATTGTGTCTTTGGTGTATTGTCCAAAGGCTTTTAGTGACTCGATCGCTGCGATCAGGTTATCTTCCTCCTCAATAAAATACTCCTCTTCTTTCGTCTGTAAACATAAAGAATTAAACGAGAATATTTATATTTTATTACTTTTTCAATCACAAACTAGACCACCGTTGAAAATGGTGCTTGGTTATCATCGAAAAGTAGTACTTCCTAGATGCAATGATGTTTCTAGGTCTAATTGTTTGTAAAATTGTGCAATACTTGGCATTGAGTCTTCTAAGTAAAATAAGCTAAAAGAAACATACGGACCTTCGGAAAACGAATTAGAAAGGAGCTAGTTTTGTTTTTACAACGCCATCTGTCATTACAAAAATAAAAATTGTACAAAATTGAAATATAAAACGAATGGTTACTTCGAAATAAAGCCAACGGCTTTGAATGCGCGAACAGAAGCGATTTGGTCAGACAAATCCCCAATTGCTTTTGAATGGCACTATCACATTGAGTCATATCTCATTCTTTTCTTATTCATTTCCACAGTGTTATGTAATCGCGACATTAAAACAGTGCAAGGTCATGGCCCAAATAAGTCGTTTCTTTGATACCGTCACCGAACCATAGAACCCTTCTTCGCAACACAGACCGACGCTCCTTTCTTACCTTGTTCGGGGCCCCAACATACCATCAGATATAAGATATGTGTACAGGCACGCACTAGCACCCTTTCCCCTCCCCTCCCTCCTTTCAGGCTTGTTCGAAACTATTTTTCTGCATTCGATTAGAGGGATACCATCTGTTTGCGACAAACGTACCTTGGTTTTATTTCTCACACATCACACACTGGTACAAAGAATCGACTGCAACTTTTGTCACACACTCATTTCTCCGACTAAAGCTCTCAGCAATGCCTATATTTCATAAAAAGCTTGAGCATAGTTCAAAAATGAAAAAAAAGGCGAAATGACGACACTGTGAAGACGTACTTCATTCTCCCCCAGCTTTCTGACTTTTTTAGCCCACTTGCGGCTTTGCGCGCGTACGGCTCCCCGGTTTCCAACTTGAAGCAAGATGACTCTTGTTTGGACCTCGTCTCTCTTGATGAAATGAACGAACGCGAAGCGTATCGGGTGCGATCTTCCCGACGTGGCTTTAATTTTTCGTTGCCATGCCTCCAAATAAATGTTGGTTCTGGATCTCCTGTTTCCGTGATGGTGCTACCGTTCCGGTGGAAAATGCCCTCACTCAAGTCGCATCAAAGTAATCAAGTAATCCAATAAGCTCCGGAACACCGAGCAATATACGCACCGACGCAGAAACGCCCAGGGGCAAGGGATGTCCGAAGGCGAAACAAAGGAAAATGCCGCGAGCTTATGAATGACGCCCTTAGCTGGCTGTTTCTTGAATATGCGCTTTAGAGCCCAGCCCCCTGAACAGAAGCCCACATTTTTTGCGCTAAAATGAAAATGGCGCCCGCGATGAGCAGCTTGAGAAAACACGACGCGCAGACCGCCAAAAAGCGCCTGCTCAAAATCCGTCATGAAATTTTGAGGGGTCAAGGAAGGAATCCCAGCAAATGTGAATGTAATTATAGCCCTTCAAACGCACGGGCAAAAGTTTGTAGCTAGCCGACCCGACAACAGAAATCAAACGGCTGCGCTAGGCACTCCGTCAATTACAACATGCAGAATTACAAGTTGGTCACACATGTAAGGTACTATCGGACAAAAATTAAATGCGAACAGAGGAGCGCGTGGCTCGCGGTACAGGCTGCGCCGCCTGGAAGTGAGCCTAGGGGCGAGGGTGCGTGACCTACTTCGATGTGTTCACGCCCCTCGATTGGCGCTCCCCCAGCTTCGGCAGTGCTCCTCTCAGTGCGTTGAAAGCTGTCACCGCTATCTTTGCCTGCTCGGCAAATGCGGCGAGCTTCTTTGCACCGCACGCGCAGATCCAGCAAGGATAGCGGTGATAGCTTTCAGCACACCAAGAGGCGCACTGCTGAAGCTTGGGGAGCGCAGAGGGAGGGGCGTGAACACGTTGGAGTAGGCCACGCACCCTCGCTCCTGGGCTCACTTTCAGGCGGCGCAGCCTGTACCGCGAGCCACACGCTCCTCTGTTCGCATTTCATTTTTCCCCGATAGTAGAACAAATAAAGTCTCGTCCGGAAAAAAAAATAATTTTAACTGACGACAGCCGTTGCGTGCCATCTCGTGTTGCGAAGGCAACTATTCAACACGAGGGTATCAGCGGTCGTGGACGATGAAGAAGGGCTCTGCTATTTTTGTCTTTTTGTGGGCGTCGTTGTCTTGCGGAGTGTCGGCTGATGAAGGAACTGCCGGTGGCTGCGATGAGCGCCTTTCTCGATACATCGAATCCTTCAGGCTGGCCAACGTGGGTACATCTGCCGCTTCTTCATCTGGCACCTAAAGGAATCTTAGTGTTTTTGTTCAGCAAACTTTGCTTAATACTTTGGAGGCGTGATAGATATAATAATTTGTAAGGAAACTGCAGAGCAGGTTTCGAGAAGTTCCTCCTTAAACAACCTTGGCATGGGTGTATTCGGGTTGGGTGCTGCTGACGTTTTCAGCACCAAGCGCAGCTGGTCCCTCACAAGCCTCTGCTCGCCTGTTGCATGGTTATGGTCGCCTATAAGTAAAAGGAGCGTAAATGTGCAATGGCATGTTAATGGTCCTTAAGCATGCACCTGGTGGCGCTAATAAGAGTAAGTAAGAAACTATATAAATAGCAGTGGTTTCTATCATGCATAAAGAGACCGACAAGCAGAAATCGAATATAGCAACTTACGGGATCTGCTTTTCACGGTGTCCTCTTCAGTCAATATCGTAGCCGCGTATCCTAATGAGTTGTAACGGCAACGAGACGAAACCATTCCGTTTGCTTTGTGCCGCTGTTTGTGACATGTGTAACCTTCAACGTAAGGGCGCTTTTCTTCTCTCTGTTTCCTTTATAAAAAGCCGGACATCATCCCTGACTGATGTCTCACTGTTGATTGGGTCGTGTTCTACTTCGGAGTGCAACGTTCTTTTCTTGAGTTTATGACTCAGCGCCATCGTTGGGGTAACGCGTTACAAGTGACGACGTTACCTGTAACGCGTTACTTATTTTCGGTAACACATAACGTACTCGTTACTTCTTTTCAAAACAGTAACGGGTAATGTACTTACGTTACTAGTTACTTTTACTTCCTAAATGTTTAAACAAAATGACACAAATATTCTTTCGAGCTTCAAGGCGCGAAGCTAAGTGATTTTTTTGCGTTTTTCTTTGCATTTTTTGTGAATATTTGGGTGAAGCCATAAAAAGATAAAGTAATTATGTTCAGTGTCTGCATGGACATAATGTTACTAGAAATATGGCGATTAAGTACACCTGTAACGTGAAATTATCAAAACATATCAATTCATAACTAAAAAACAAAAGCCAAGATAACGTGCGTTAGTTTATATCGGTAACTGTAACACGTTCCTTTCATTTCCAATTAATCGAATTGAATTGGCTTTATGGAGACACTAGGCCTATGGTAACAGGACAAAAGGCAGACTAGCTCTGCCTGACGCGGGCCTATCACCCGTTTACAATGCTGAGCAGGCGAAAAAAACAACAATGATCATTAAAGATTACAAGAAGATAAAATAGCACATCAGCAACAATCAACACAGCATGTTTTGTACAACGCTTATACAATCGTCAGTGCACTTAATACTTTGGAAATACATGAGACAGGTAATTCAACTCATACACAATGAAAATATAATCTAAAAGTATTTACTCAACATGACATGAGACAAGGTCCCGCTGTAGAGTAATTTTAAAGCTGTGTTTCGTTCCACAACCTGAGATTGTTTTCCTAACGGCTGGTGTTTTATTTAAGAAATCAGGTATCAAGTATGCTAACTGGTGAATGCCCATAGTTCGTCTTAGACCAAGTTACTTTATAGGAGCCGTGTCGTAGATTGCATTGTGTATTACTAGGAAGATGTGCGTCAAAAAACAGTTGAAGTCTTTTATTGTTTTCAGTGGTAAGAAAACTATGTTTAAAATACGAAAGCCGCTTCCACCCTAAGAAACGCCCGTACGTCTACTTTCCCGCACAAAACACGAAGAGCCAGTCACCGCAACTTGCGGAGGCAGCTCAGCGAATGACGATGCCGAAACATATTTTTAGACCTAAAACGCTATCCGAGTTGTGACATTAATCAATGCAAAACGTCAGGCTTGCGTTGCTTAATGTCACAACTCAGACTGCCTTTTTTGGTCGAAACATATGCTACGGTATCATCATTCGCTGAGCTGCCTGCATAAGTAGCGCTGATTGGTTCTCCGAGTGTTGTGCAGGAAAGTTGACTCACGGAATTTTTTTAGAGTGTGCAACTCCCTGTAAAACCGAATGAGAGCGCAGCTCTTGAGGAGAAGGAGGGAAGGGTACTGAGGGGAGCGTATACTCCTCCCTCCTCCTAACCTCCTCATCCTGCCTGCTACTGCTCAGAGTCACGCCAATGGCGACTGCGACGGCGATGCCTTCGGCGTAACCGTGAGGTCACGTGACCCTCGTGACCTCACGGGGACATGTTACCTCAAGGGGTGAGGTGACGTCGCCGGGGCCACGTGAACTTACTGGAGTCACGTGACCTCATGGGGATCACGTGACTTCACGGGGTCACCTCACCTCACGAGGGTCACGTGACGTCACGAAGGTCACGTGACGTCACCAGTGTCACGTGACCTCACGGAGGTCAAGTGATGTCACTGGTGTCACGTGACCTCACGGGGGTCACGTCATCTCACGGTTACGCCGACGGCCACGCCGACTCTGCTCAAGCCAGAAACGGGCGGCTAAGATCTGCGCTCCAAAAGAATGATGCTGTGTGGTCAGTATGCTCAAGGTTTTCTGTTCAACGTATAGCTTTTGCTTTTGCAAAATAAACAACCTATCAATATTTTTGTTGCTGTTGAACAAGAAAACTAATAAACAGTAATGGAGATGAAAGTAACTAAAGCATAGTGCAACTGACGGTTTAACCAGCATGGAACCAGCTATCTAATTTTGTATAAAATACCAATAGATCTCAAGCTGCTTGCATGCATTTTATTTATATGAGGTGTCCAGCTTAAACTTCTCCTAACAACTCATAAACGATTACACGCTCGATCACCGAGTCTTGGAATTTTTAAAAACAATTTCACAATCGTCAGGTTTACCTCGTGGCTTAAAACTTGCATATTTTGTTTTCGTAACGTTTAACTGAAGGTGATTGTGGTCAAGCGACACCGATAACTCGTTGAGCCATGTGTGAACCGTAACATCTAGATGATGTAAAAATGGACGAGAAAAAAAAAAGCTTGTATCGTCGGCATACAAAAACTATTTCAGGAGTGTTTACGATAGGTACAATATCATTAATTTAAATAATAAAAAACAGAGGACCTAAAATAAACCGCTGTGGAACCTCATGCGATATTTGTTCTGGCTTATTGGTACCGGTATCCATTAAAACACGTATATTGTGACCGGCAAGATAAGTAACTACGTACGTACCAACACCTCGAATTCTATAAAACGGTAGTTTCTCAAACAATATATCATGCTTAGTGAAATCAAACGCTTTTCTAGTCTAAAAATATTCCAATGGTAAATAGTTTATTTTTAAAATGTTGATTAATTTTCTTTGATACTAAGTAACGCCAGTTCTGTTGACTTTTTTTCTTGAAAACCGTATTGCTGCATTACAAAGACATTTCTATGATTCAAAAATTTGCAGAAGTGCTTTTTATCTGATGTTCTAATACTTTAAAAACCAAAGGAAGTACGGATCTGAGCCTACAGTTTTTAATGTTGTCAACAGAACCAGGGCTTTGTGCAAAACAGCAACTCTTGGAATTTTCGTGCCATGGGGTAAAGTAGTAGTTGCTGATGCAATGTTACATATAAGCTGCAGAGGAGAACACAAAAGATGGGCGACAGCTATGATTGGTTTGGCCTTGATATTTTCTGCGGTGATGATTAACGTATTCCGTTACTTTTTCTCGGTAACGCCTAAAATACTGCTGCAGCGCCCACAATGCATCTCAGAAAACAGAACAACTGAATTCCGAGTCCCGACTTTTGCCCGACCTATTTCCCCGCTGAATTTAGCGGGAACTCACGTCACGTCACTTTATGTCAAGGGACCTATAGAAAAATATTGTTTCTCCGCTAAATATAGCGGGAAAAGTGATGTCATGTGACTTGGTCACGTGACCTTAACGAAATTTTAATTTGGCCACTAGATTTAGCAGTAAAATTGACGCCACGTGCCCTCAACACCAATTTAGTTTCTCCGCTAAATTTAGAAGAAATGACGTCCCGTGACTTAGTGACACATGATCTACACATCAATTTAGGAAAAAGTCGTCTAAGTGGGAAGGGTAAATAACTTGCGGATATTTTTATCTATTTTACTGCCATGTCCGTTGTCATCTTACACGAATTGCTAAAGGTATGGTAGTTTATATAACTAATAATATTTTCATCATTTACCTATAATATAAATCACTAAACTGAATATATTTTTGCATCCGGCACAATTGTGTAAACCTGCTCTGCAGCACTATCACATCGAAAACAAAACATTGTATCAAGCTGACCAATACAATATTCTTCCAAACCAGAAAACATGAGCGTTAACAGCATGGTGGTGAATAAATTCAGGACGATTCAAATCGTGATATCTATTATGATTTCTATAGTGCTTTGATTTATACCTGCTTCGCTACAATAAATTGAATAAAAGCATTTCCACAAAACTAATCCCAAAATAGTTTCATAATTTACCATTTTTCTATCATGCGATGCATTGTATATTCATTGTTTTCTTTTTAAATCAATTAATCGCCGAAGAATACAAAAATCTCATAACGCACTCATAAAAAAAATCTCATAACGCACTCATAAATCTCATAAAGCAGTCGTCTGAGCATATCGCAGCCACACGTTATTAAGCTGTTTGTTTTTTTGTTCTACAAAGTCAGAGTTTACTAAACAAATGTCACTTAAACCCTGCTTCAAATTTACAGTAATTATTTCTTCCGCATTATTTTCAGTGGTAGGATGGATTTATTAGTCAATCTGTGATGTTCAAAAATACATCTAGTGATCAAATGCACTAGTTTATGGCTATACTGATGTTATATAGTTTAATATGGTATAACGCAAATAAATCTGAATTAAATCATTGGCATCGAATAATTTATAGTTAAACAAATAGTTATTGTTTTCCTCTCAGTCGAGTCCCCTTGGCAAAGCGTAATCTGATCGAAACGGTTCTAACTAAAAAAGTCCACTTTAACTGAGAAAAAAAAATTTTCTTCTAAAACGTTTTGAGTTTACAATTGTGTTTCACTCTTGGCGGCAATAACAAGACTTTCAAACTTAGAGATACCAATCTTTGGGGGTTCGACAATCAATACGCACCTGAAATCCGAGTATTCCAACAAGCTGGAGGTTTATTCGGGGCTTGCGAACCGTCTTGAAGATAGCATTCACCTTCGTGGAAAAAATAAGGCATTCGAATGGGTGTCAGTAATCGGAGCACGAAACCCTCAATAAGCACTTTTTGTTTGGTCAGTGAAAACAGATATTACTAAATTATTTCCGAACAAGAACAAATGTAAAGCATACGCACCATGTTCATTAGCCTTATGATGTATCGAACCTGTAGGTGTTTGTTTCCTTGCAGGTACTTGTGTATTACACTGTCAAACATGACGTACATTTCAGGTCGCCACACGGCGGGTGGCTCTGCAGTGTCACCTAGAAGGTTTCAAATGATGGTATGTCCTCAGTGCTTCTCGAGTTTAGAATTCACCTTGTAATCTTTTTTTTTTTTTTTAAGAATCACGATGCCAGATAAGTTGATCTTGATTTTTGTGCAAGATAGTGAAACAGTCTCCCGAATCAAATGCTTTCAAACTCATTATATCATCAAAGTGCGGCCTCGAATTGTAGTTACTCGCAAGCACGTGCTGATGTCTACCGAATTATTTCAAAGCAAAAACCTCAAGCAGAAAAATTCTGAGGGTTTCTACTGTGTACAGAAAATTGCATCATAGTTATAAAATGGCTAGTATGTATGCCGCGCATGTAACTGGGATTGCAGCCTGCTCCTTGGTGTTTGTATAATTGGTTGAAGGGACTGCTGAGGAATGTTAAATGTTATAAAAACAAAATAAGCTTACTTCTTGGCAGTAGACTTTCATCGGAACGGTCTTCTAAGGGAACTGTAAACATAATAGTGATACTGAATATAAAAAGTAATCGAAGTCAAAGGTTATAACTTTTCAAAGGCATGCTTCTTGAGCAAAAGTATAGAAGAACAGTTAGTGTTTTGCTGTAAATTAGTTTTTTTTTTTTTTTCTTTTTTGCTGGCCCGTTTTTGCGGTTTTTAGTCGTTAAGATATCTTCAAGATAATTTTCACCAATAATTACAATATCCGATGTCAGCGCATGTGTTTACCTTAATGCCATCACCTCAAAGCCGAACCATGCCAAAATAGAGTACATATTTTTTTTCGTTTGAAAGAAAAGGCGAGGAAGTGATATTTTTGACGTGTTACCTAAACAGTAAGTGTAATTAAGTAAAAATATAACGGACGTTATAATTGCCAGTATATTCCACGTCCTAAAAATTATTTGTACAAACATATATGCTCGGAACCCTTGAGTGCTACCAATTAAATTATTTAGGAAGAAGTGAACGGCAACTTTGAACGCACTTAAGCTGTGTTAACTTGAATATAAGGATATCATAACTTTTTTCCGGCTGCCAAACCAGTGACCCCTTCCGTTAACTGCGAAAGTGCTAATTATTGGTACGATTTGAGGTCATACATACTCTGATACTGAATTCTCTTAAACTCAGGTTACATACTCAGATCACTAATACAGGAGCCGTTGAAATGATGCAAGTAAAAAAAATAATGAAATACTGAGGGGCCGTGGCCTCTGCAAGCACTTCTTTTCATTTCCCAATGACAATTAATTAATGCGATCATTTCGCCACGCTTTAAACGGAATGTTTTGTTAGAGAAAAAACGGGAGGGTAATTAATTCATCGAGATAATAAATGGCAATCAACTGAGAGCGTACCAGAATTGACACCGCAGGCGAAACAAACGCTGGAGAAAAAAATTCGGTCGTATACGTTCAACATTTCTAATAATTTTTGCTTCGAGAAGTCTAGCCTTTAAAGGTAGAACTTTCAAGAAATATCTAGTGTAGTGTTTGATTCTGTCACTTACTTTCCAAGTGTATCGGTTCCTCAGGCGTCGGGAGCGGAAATATTCTATGAGGGATTCGGCCGGATTTGTCATGTATTCGCAGTGGCTCAATTCCGTGTGTAAAGTTTAGGTATCCTTCCTGTTAAAAAAGTGAAAGATTTCTGAATATTGCAAGCATTGCCCGTTGCAGACTGTTTTTGAATCGCGAACCAAACATTTCATCCTTACTAAAAATTCAATAGGTCAGGAAGCAATATATGGAGAAAGTATTCTAAATATTTATTTTAAAGTTCTCATAAATAATGTTCTTTAGACGCTGTGGCGATGTGAACTTCCAATATGCTTAATACATCTTCATTTTTTCGAAACTTAAAAAAGCGCTGCAGGTTTATAAAATGTTCGCGAAAATCTATGTAGTTAACAAATACAGGATTTATAAATAATGATTGCATAACCTCCTGCACATTTGTATAATCGTATTTATTGTTCCTATACGAATATATACTTCAAAAATATTTGCACATACCATTTCGATTCCCACACTTGTTTCAGTAATTGTAAAGGAAGCCTTGTGTTCCGAATTTGCATAAGCACTATTACGCATGTCTGTAGTATCCACCTGAAAACAACATATGAGTAAAATAACTGCGAAGTGATCTTCATAATAGTAGCAACTGAAATGCTGAACGGTTATTTTTATAGCCAAGCTATTTATGGCTAGGGTTTCGTTGATTTTTTGTGCGCGTCAACAAAAACTCGGTTTCGAAATTTGGTGCCAAATTCCTTCATTTTATGCAAAACCTTATGTCTCAACACTTGGATATGCATTTTCAGTAGATTAGTTATCAATGGGCTCCATTTTCAAGATCAGTAGACTCTCAGGTAGATAATAAAGGTTTCTCAAAGATTTCGCGCTGTGCGACCCGCGTCGGCTATGTCTACTCTCGCACCGCCCTCTCCTCGTAGTCGCCCCAAGCGCTTGCGAGCCTAGTTTCCGTTCATTCCGCTCTCCCGGATTGGCGGTCGCGTCGCGAGTGTCTTTTTTCCTCCGGCTCGTCACGGTGACCACCGATCAAGACAATAAATGTGGTCTTACTTTTGTTCAAAATTCTTTGACACGTCTGTGTCGTGTGCTAAACCGCTTCGCTGGTCATCCACCTTCTCAGACTGGAATTGCTCATGCTTTTTATTTTTTTTTTCGCAAAAAATGACATTTTATAAAAACTAAGTAAATGATTACGTTCAATGAATTTCAACAAGGCGCAGAACGAATATCGGGGCGAATGGTTGCATAAATCATCGAGGAAGAAAAACGTTCTCAAAGAATACAAAAAAAAAAAAAAAATCGTGGGAGACGGCACGTCATTTAAACAAATGTGCGTTATTTGCGTTATTAATAGCGGAGACAATTCTGCTTGAATGGCACTTTCAAATGTACGAAAACTTCCAAAGGCACTACCGGACACATCAAATAACTTCTGAGTGAATCAACAGGTAGAATGTTTATTTTCTAATTAAATTAAGTGAATTTCAATCAATGAGGCGGAAGCATGCTTCCTTGTGAAAGGTAATCTTTCCTTACCAATTCGTGATTCACTTCTCCATCCCTAGCCTCGGAAAAATACAGACGGTCCCCTAAAACACTGGATTCTTCCAAGTCTATGACGTAGTCTTTAGAAAGTTGAACAGCGCCTCTTGAGTTTTCGCATCTGCTTTCAATCAGAACCGGATACACGACACCTGGAACGTAACCGCTCCTGTTATCCCACTGTTCCATACTTGCAGGAAACTTCTCGGTACAGAGGACGAAACAAAACGTTGGTCACAAGTCACGGTGTTTTTTTAATAAAATAATTTTTTAATAGATCTCGTAGCAAAGTTCTCTGTCACAAATTACAATTAACTCAACAAAAATAAGAAAGCTCTTCTGCAATGACAAGACGTTTGAAATGTAATGGAATAAAAACAAACCACGGGAAGCAAGCCTATACTCATGTGAATAGTTCGAACGGAACAAACTTGGAAAATCGGGGAAAGGGGGGGAAAGGGGGGGGGGAAAGGGGGGGGGGGGCATCTTCTAGTCGTGTTTCGTTAACACTATTTATTCTTTCATATGCATTTCTTAATATGCAGCTTATGAGAAGATATCCTACTTCTATAGACTTCAAAATGCTATAAGAGTGCTATACCACATAAAACAAAGGAACTGAAGAATTTAGATTACCTTGTTGTTGCCAAGTTTTTTTAATATTGATGGTTATAATCCTAATCTTTTATACCACGCCTACGTTCCTGTTCTTGCGAAAAACTTTCGGAGATCTGTCAAACTTTTCGCAATTCAGCGCTCTAATTGTACGGCGCCATGATGAATGAAACATCGTTTTGGGACGGTCACATCCATTTGGTAACTCCGATTGTACACATAATCTGAACAAACAGAGGCTAAGAAAAGCGCAAGAGTAATTCTCTCAAATGCCCAACTACGTGAAAGGATTTCTGGCAGTTTGGAACTGGGAAAAAAAAAAACATTACGTTATTGTGCATTCCGTGCACGTACAATGCAATTGGCGTTCCGCATTAAAAAGCCACATTTGCATCCTCTCTTATTTTGTAGGTGTAACAGGAGGAACCAAGTGCATGGTCTTTATGCAGACCTGACGTACGTCAGGCGTTGATTACGCGAACAACTGCTTCGTGTATAATTACCTCGGTGTCGCTTTCTACATATGTGTGACGCCCTTTGGCCGGCTGAACTGTGGAGTACGATGCCATTAGAGCTCGTCTGTGACTGGTGCTTAAAGATCCTATCACATACATATTTTAAAAGTAATCCCGAAGTGTTCACAAACGACCTCACAGGAGCCAAAGCGTCATGCTCTCGGATGTTGCTACCCTTGCGCTTGGTGCTAGAATTCCCGGTCAAAATTACGATGGAAAGCTCGTACTTTTGGCTCCTACCACCACCGATGCAACACCGCCAGGATCCTGGCCGACGGCATGGAACTTATATGACGTCGAAGTGCGTAAAAAGACGGACAACTTTTTTAGAACGCGGAACGTGGCTTACGTACTGCTGGTTCCAAACCATTCTTTGGAGCCAGCAGTACTTAAGAACGCTCCTTAAGCTAAGTTGCTTTGACAAATCTATATAAAAAAAAGAAAAAGAATTACCATATTTGGTTAAAAGTACAAGAATTACGTGCCAGAGCTATAAAAATATAATCACTAGATTTGCGTTAGCCTAGTCGCAATTTTATTTTGCTTGTGTTTTTGAAGACATTTGGATGTAGTACCGGGTGCATCAAGTAGCGGGCAGACTCTGTAAATCGACCGCAAAATTCAGTTTCTTAACCAATGGCGCTACGATGTTCTGCAGCTTTGCTCACAGGTGGTGCATTTGATATATAAAATTTGCAAAGAGCGAACTTACCTGAGGAAAATGTAAAAAAAAATGGCTGAACTCCTATGGAAACGTAGTGAAGTCACCAGACTTCAAACACCTGGGCGCCCGATTGATTGAGGAATGGTGGCTTCGCTGGGTTTCCACGGGAATTAAGACTATTGCTTTCTTTACTTTTTCCTCAGGTAAGTTCACTCTTTGCAAAGTTTATAGAAAAATTTGCGCCGCCTGTGGGCAACGCTGCACAAAGTCGTAGCGCGATGGGTTAAGAAACCGAATTTTGCAGTCGATTTAAATAGCCTGGCCACTACTTGATACAGCCGTTAGAATACCAACGTATTTAAGTATCCGAATTAACCCCTCCTGGTTATCGGAAGATATAGTGGCATATATTTATAAGAGGCCGCTCCTTCAATCATTCACAACCTAAGTGAAGGGCCGGTTGACTGACGAGCATCTCATTATTTCTTCTCATCCAGTAGGATTGAAGCATTAGAGGATAAGAACACAGAAGAAGCAATCACGAAGCAAGAATCAAGGTTATATTATTAAGCCACACCCTGCGCGTCTTATTTGTCAGCGACTCTGAAGGAATCTATGAATACAATCAATGCAGTATGTCTACCCAAGCCTATTTAAACCCTGCGCCTTTCGGGGGTATGGTGCATTCCGTAATACAAATTATTTCTCGTCTGCAATATTGTGTGCGGAATTTTCATGATAACTGTTTATCGTGCCCAAAAGCTCGGAGGTTTAAGCCCAGGAGAAAAGTAAAATTCGATATTACGTCACTAAGAAAAACGCCATGCAGAAGCGTCTTCGTAAATAAAATCAATACATCACCGGCGTGAGCAGTAGCAACGCTGAAAATAATGAGTGTAGCCGAATACATTTTCCGTCGCAAAAACGTGCGTAAAGGAGAGAAAAACACTTGGAAATGTAAGAATGGCTATGTCAGGAATCTTTTTAAAGGGTGAAAAGGATAAGTGCCCTTTAAAATTTTACAAAAAATACCAGATATTGAAAACAATAAGTCAAATGTCGTAAGCAGGAAGTTGCATTTATTATGTTGTTAAAGACAGCTTTTTTCACGAAACGAGCATTAACAACGCAACTCACCCTTTTCAAATGTCAGAGCCATCTCGTGGCAGTCTCAATAGCTCCAATTTCTCCGCACTAATGACGGTGATAGAAGATCAAGATCGTCTACCTTCAAACACTCCCGACTTTATGAATCAAAGGCCACTTACGAGGACCAACTTGTTAGAATGGATTCTCCTCTTCTCTGCGGCACGCTTTCATAGGCGCTCGCTTCTCCAAGGGCGCGGAAGCTGCGTAGCGCCGCCATTAGAGCGTCGAGTTTGGCTCTGAACATGGAACGTAAACTATTTTTTGAAAAGGTCCGATTGAAGCGTGTCAAAAAAAAAAAAAAAAAAAGTTAGCGGTTTGCTTTTCGCGGTGGATTCTAAACATGGCTTCCATTTGCATCACATCAGCGGCCATTCTGGTGGCCATTGCTTGCTGAGCACGTGGCTTCTGCATCACTGCACGAAAATAAGTATGTAATATGACGTCACATGCCGGCCACACATAAACGCCGCGGCTAACGAGACAAGCAAATATCACGAAACCGGCCCGTTGGAGACGCGGAAGAATACACCAGAAGTTTTCGACAAATGGCTTCCTCAAATCCCTCGTCGCTCCGATTAAAAAAAAAGTGCGATTCCATACACTGAATAGCATTGATGACACGTAAAAGTGAGATTAAACAATCGTGTGCTTTAATAGCGGCATCTGACTTTCTGCTAGGGAAGGTGAGAGCAGCTCTCCAGGGCTACGTTTACTCAACTGATTTCTATTGACATTTTCACGACCGAGTAAGCATCGCGCGCGTCTCCCACGGGAAGGCACTGGACCAGGGCCCCACTAGCCGAATTTCTCATTTTATCTTTGTCGTCTTTTCTATAACGTTCTCATCTTGTAACGTATCGCTCGTTCATGTTCGGAATGTTTTAGAATACAGACTATGTACAAAAGAAGGTGAATTTGGCAACATTGGGTCATTGGTCTCTTGTCGCCATCTCGGGATGGACGCTGTTCTTTTTGCTTTCGTTAGGGGAGCGAGTTCATCTTATTGTACATTTATTTTCAGTTTTTAAATGAACCTACTTTTTCATCCGTGATAATACAGTAATGCCTAAGGATAACACCCAAAACTGTAGGAAGACTGGGAGGTATCCAGGACTGCCCGGTAGACGACGCCACTGTGTTGAAGCATTGTAAGCGGTCGCAGGCGTGTCAAAACGACCATTCCCCTGGTCGTTTTGGATGACTAACCTAAATCCACTACACAGTAAATATTTTAACACCCAAAATCGTGTTAAAAGGGTGTTTTTTTAACCAACACCCTTCCTACACCCTTTTTACACGATTTTGAGTATTGGTGGGTGTAACATGGGTGTACGAGAAGGCTTACACCCTAAATACACCCCTCTTACACCCCTATCACACCCACAATTTGAAATATGCTCAGGAAATCGTATTAGAAGGGTGTAGGCACTCGTCGCAACACCCCCCGTTCATAAAGTGTAGAAAGGGTGTGATGGACTTATATGATTTCAAGGAGTCGGAGTTAATCACGTCGAAGGAACCCTTGTCTACGCGAGGAACCGGTAAGGACATCGTGACATCGATTGATCGTCATCGCGGTATAGCAGCATGCGCCCCAAATCGAGGAGCTAGCTATGAAATGAGTCGGAAAAAAAGAATGTCGCCTGCATTAGCAAGCTCGAATTTTTATCTAATATGTGCTTTAAGCGGTGGATTTTATACTTTGTGCAATACCAAGACGTAGCTCAAACTGCTTGGAATTATGTAGCGATGCATCGGTCCGACGTCCCGTCAAAACTTCAGGACATCAACGAGAACGTGCAAGAATGCGCGTCACATTAATCTTACACAAATCCGCTTTCCCCTCTGTTCGGTCAATATCATTGTCATCGACGCCGTTTTTCTTCACGCCAGAGGAGAGGCCAATCATTCCTACCAGTTTTTGCCCAAAAACCCAGCGCAAATGACGATGAGCAGTGCTCTATGCTTCCGTCCCGGTCAAGTGGTTACGGACGTCCACACACTTTTCATTCACACGGTGTGAGACGGGCGTAATGTTGATACTGTCAATTACACCCATTATTTTATAACCGTTCATGTTTATTGCTTTGATGAAACGGTTGCTGATGTACGGCGGTACCAACATCGAATATAATTAATCGCCACAGAAAGGCGCGTATGATTAGGAAGTGCTAGAGAATGTTTTTTGCAACTCCGATCGAACTCTTCGTCCGAGAGGAGCCGAAAATTACGTGTCGCGCGTGCACCAGGTTTATCAGTTCAACTTCGATTTAAAAAAATCACCTCTGCTCGCAAAAGGTGACCGAAGACGTGTAAATATACAGCCCAGGCAACACACCATATGTCGCCGATATTGGATCTATTCGAAAAGATTCTGCCCACACCATTTTGGTTTAGCCAATATTTAAAGAAATGGGGTGAGCCGCGCCAACGATATCCTGACATAACGTACGCGACGCCGTTTTTAGTTGAGTGTTGAGAGTATCCTGCGTGAATCGGCTATGACGGAGTGGTATTTCTATTTCCTTGCCGCCTAAAATACGATGTTAAAAATAAAAAAAAAGATTAGCCAAAGCGGAATCTGCTTGCTTTTAGCCCAAGAAGTCTTTCTTGGGCAAAAAGCGAGCAAATTCTGCTTTGATTAATCTTTTTATTTATTTTCTTTTTAACTGCGCTGAAGCTTGGAACAAACAGTGGCGCCTTTTTTTGAGTAGCACAAAGTCACCTGACTGAACCAATAAATACACTTCCAAACACATGAATAAAAAAAGGAAAGAGAAAGAAGGAATTCAAACGCATAAACAAGACGACGATCAAAGAGTTCTACCCAGAAAGCATAAGCCACTCCCCGGCTCCACACTTTTCGAAAGGGAACCGCCACTTGAACAACAACTTCAAGGTCCCACATACAAGGCGATCCTCCCTGTGCAGCCCAGGAGGCAGCAGAGGGAGATTAGCAGCTTTGTCCACCCCCATTTGACCTCTTCTTCTGATAAGCCTCCCCAATTTCTTTTGTGTCGGTGTGGCTGTGAGCGAGTGCGAAGGCCGCTTCTAGCGAATCAGAGGTGTGGAGCGAAACACGTGACCGCTCTCCGTAGGACGAAAACGCTTGGACGAACATTTGTCACGCGACTCGCTCTGACGCGCTGATGGCTTACTGGGGTCATAGCCTTCGCCGTTTGCCAGTTTATGGTGAGTTGTAGGGGGCCACGTAAATCCGGTTTCCAAAAAGCGTCCGTCAGTGTTCTCTTTTTCGTGAAAGCAGGTCCTGACGAGTTCCATTTCGCGACCGTTGTTTTTCGTCGTGAACGGCCGGAATACATCTATGCCAACTTTTTCATATATTGACCATTTATTTCGTCGGACTCTATGGAATTATTGTGCTGTGTTTGTTGGACGAGTTTTGATAGAGAGCTGCTCATCGGTGACCGCGAGGTTTCCGTTGAATGTGAGCGACCGCCTTCATCCCCGGCATTGTGTTTGCGGTGTTTCGTGCTGCCCGAATCGGATTGCGCATCTATCACGACTGAGAGCTGCTCATCGGTGACCGCGAGGCTTCCGTTGAATGTGAGCGACCGCCTTCATCCCCGGCATTGCGTTTGCGAATTGTTCTGTGCTGCCCGAATCGGATTATACATCTATCACGGATTACATGAGATCGCTCTCTTATTTGTAAGTACTTTGCAAGCATGCTTAAAAACATGAACTGCCGCTTGCGTCCCAAGTAACTTCCGGTCGTTCCGTCTTTCCAAGCCTGTCGAGTTTTGCTTACGTCACCAGTGCTAGAAAAAATAAATGTCGCAAGCAATTTTCTCCCCAGAAATTTCTGAGAGGTGGACATTACCGCAGATTGGGGTTAGAAAGTAACACCCCTTTTCAGGGTGTTAGACATTAATCACACCCCTTTTAAGGGTGTTAGAGATCACACCCATGACTAAGGGTGTCAGAAAAATCACACCTTTATTCTAGGGTGTGAGAACATCACACCCCTTTTTTAGGGTGTCCGAAAATCACACCCCATTCTTAAGGTGCTAAGAATTACACCCCTTTCCTAGAGTGATCTGTTACACGAATAAGGGTGCTCCCCATAGGACAAGCCATTTACACAAATAAGGGTGTTAAAATTTTAAGTGTGTTCGGACCAACCGATTCGTGCCGAGCCACCGCGCCTCTGACTCCACCAGCGGAAGACGACAGGCTTCCGGGAGTGACCAACTGTCGTCCCGGCGTTCCCCATCGAGCTGGGCTGTCGTCATTTCCGGAAAGCGCCATCAGGCGTCGGTCGACCGCCGTTCCCGTCATGCTCGGCGAGGCAGGAAGTTACGTCGCCCAGAGATTGGCTTCCACTCGGCTCCGGGAAGATCAGCCGATCGAGATCTGGGCGTTCGAACCCTAAATCAGAGTCGGCGCTGCTCCAAAAGGAAGTGCGAAAGACATCCGGGTTGATCTCAAACGACCAGTGGTGAACGCGCCCTCCCAAAAGATCGATCCCGGACCGCGCCAAAACGACGAGGGGAATCCGTCATTACTCAAACGCCGAATCTGTTAAAAAAACTGAAAAAAAAACAACCTTAAATGGACCATGAAGACCACTTTAAAGTTCAGTTTAACGATTGATATGAACGCCAAGTGTCTTGGAGGCAATCTTTACGAAGTTTAAGGCCGATGTAGCGCTTGCGCGCCGCACAAATTAATTGAATAGAACCAGCAACAATCACACCGGGTCCGATGAGAGCGACGCCGGAGACTGCGGAAAAATGCAACTTATGAATGACGTGGACCGTAACATCAATTGTGGCACGTTGGGCGATTG